TATAACCTATATGAAGGAATTTTATTTTTTGTTTTTGAACTCTCATCCTGCTTTACAGAATGTTATCTTTGAAATAAGGCACCGCTGAAATAAATCTCCTGAGAAAATCAACAAAACTGAATCTATTGGGTCAAGCTTGAAGACTCAACAAAGTGTATGTGGTGACATATTTTATGAAATGTTGACAACTCAGTCTATCCTAGAAATACACAGAAAAACGGTTTGGTTTCATGGGAGACAATTTTCATGAGATAGACTGAACGTTAAAAAAGGACAGAGAAAATTTACCTTAAACATCAGTTTTTATAAGCAAGTCTTGGGAAAAGAAAATGTTTTATTTAGACCGGTTAAAGGGTGGTAGTCGTCTTGCCGCACATGCACGAGATATAGGTTTCATATAAACAAAGATGTCAATTTTGACTGTTGCGCAGATCAATGAGTACAAACTGAGACGTTACTAAGCTTCAATTAGATGTTTTTTTGGTGCTTGGAAGGTGTCGAAGGAGTTGCCGGTGGTGACTAGTGCAAGTGGCGCCCAGGACAAAACTCGTACTCATGATTACATTAGATAAGCGCATTGGACTCTGGGAAAATAAATGTTTATCAAAACAAATGTCGCACATGTGCGGCGTTACGACTAACACCTTTAAGTAAAACTTTAATCATAAAGAAATTACGACATGTTTTTTTCCCACCATAAATTTGGTGCAATCTTTTGTCCATGTTACTATGATTTCTTTTTTCAATTTTGGGTTAAATAGACAAGATTTTATATCAACTTTAAATCTCGAAAATCTTATGAAAAAAAAAAAAAAAAATGTAGGTCAGTTTGGGAAAAATGACAAAAGTTGACTTTGTAATAAGGTCAAAGAGTCAAGGGTCAACACAGAACTATGGTGAATTTGACCTTTTGTCCGCCAGACTTTCTTGCTCAAATTGTTCTGCACTATTTTCTTATATTCTTCAATATTTCTGAAAATGAACCCTGATTTTCAAACAATGGCTGATTTAATTACTACATCGCATTCGTTAATGTGTTGTAATTGCTTTCAACTGTCATATGTCATTTGTAAAACGGATACAAATATTTTATATAATAAAAACATTCATGTCTTCATCAAATTCAAGTCATGGGTGTTAAAAAAACATGAATAAATATTGCTGAAGACTTCCGATGGCAATTGATTATTGCTGTCACAAAATCTTTCCAAAATATAGAACTGACAATCATAGAACCCCATTCACCAAATGAAACAGAAAAACTGCATTACTTTGCTGTGGGTTTTCAGTGAATCTAATGGGGATTCATTGCCTGCAAAATCTCATTATTAAATATATTCAATTACTAAATATATTCAATTACTAAATATATTCAATTACTAAATATTTAATCATATAACACAATTGCTTATTGAATTACAATTAGAATTGAAGATTAATTAAATTAAATTAAATTGTAATCCTTTATAGTAATACAATTTAACAATTAATTAATAATCAAAGAAAGCTTAGAAAGAACTCCCATGTGCTGAGAGTATTGGAGACACATTAAATATAATTTGAAATTACTTAGCTGAAAACTAATTATGCAAATCAGAAAATTGACATGAACAGATTTGATTGTAAAACTAATGAGGTCTGCGCAATGTAACAAAAACTCTATGTACCAAGTTTAATTGAAATGTGATTAGAACCAAAAAATTATGAATTATTATGCTAATTGGGGAAATAATATGAGCAGAGTTTTACCCCAAACTAATTAGGTTTGTACATTGTCCTAGAGCATCTTTGTACTAAGTTTCATTAAAATGGAAATTAGTACTTTAGATATCAGTGTGAAAGCTTAAAATTGGTTAATTATGCAAATTAGGTAATTACATGTACTGATATTACCATAAAAACTATCAGGTCTGTGTAGTGTCATATGACATCTATGTACCAAGTTTCATTGAAATGTGATGATTAGTACTTGAGATATCAGTGGAAAAAACGAAAATTGACTAATCATTATGCAAATTAGGTAATTAGTATCCACGGATTATTACCAAAAACTAATCAAAACCTAGCATTAGTTCAGAAAATCTATGTACCAAGTTTCATCAAAATCCAATGAGTGGTTCTTTAGATATCAGTGGAACAGTCATAGAACAGCTAAAAATTAGCTAATTATCATGCAAATTAGGTAATTAACGAGATGGATTTTTACCAAAACCTAATCAAATCTGCGCATTGGCCCAGAGCATCTATGCACCAAGTTTCATCAAAAACCGATGTATGGTTCTTGAGATAGCAGTGGAACAGTCGGACACACATACACATACACACACACACACACACACACACACACATACAGACACACTAACTGCAAAGACTCCCATTTTGTGCTTCGCACATGGGAGTCAAAAATTGAGTTACTTTTTTTAGCATTGGAAGGTAAAGGGATAATTATGTTGTATTCATTTAAATTAAATTAAATATTAATTAGTTGGTGACGCAATTCTTGTTCCAGTTCCAAATTTTATAAAAACAACAAGTTTATATTCTTTCAATATCCATATATCACAGGGTTAGTATTTGAGCAATGTCAGTATTTGGGTTAACATTATTTGTATAAGTTTGAGTTTAGCTAACATACTCAAAAGGTCACTATCTACCAATCAGTTTACTTGATTGTCAGAGGATGATACTCCTATCACACACTAACTGAATTTATGTCATGCTGTGGTCAAATAAAGTGAATGATTTCTCAATTTCGAAATGACTGGCAGGCAAATATTTGAGAAAACGTGGCCTTTGGCCTGGTATCACTTAAATCATTTTGGCTACCGAGAGGGGGGGGGGGGGGAGACAACCGATATTCAGTTTTGTCTATGGGGAAAGACATCATTCTTTAATACTTTGAAATGCTCACAACTGTACATCAGCACAGCAATTAGTTGACCCAGGCTAGTGGGATTCTAAATAGGGATAAAAATAACATTCATTAAACAATCAGAGGTAACATGAAAACAATCTTGTATTTATTTTAATAAACTAAAGTTTACTCTTAATTGATGACTAATAAAAACTTTGGGTGATTTAAGGAAATAAATTTGCACTGAAAACAAAATTGCACAGAAAAATAACAGAAAAACAAATATTTAGAAAAATCCACACACACACTTAGAGGAAGAAAGAAGGAACGAAAAACAAAATACATAAACATCAGTAGAAAAAGAACAGTAATACCCCCCCCCCCCCGGGTTCTATTGGTTCACCCCTTAACGTTAAGATATAGAACCAACATACGCTGACCACATGTAGTGGTTGTGTACTTGGGTCTGTGTAACAGCATTATCAGAATATTTTCCCACCATACAAATACATGGCTATACAGAATACCCCGTTGTGCATATCAATTAGAGACTGATCAACAGCTGTGCAAGTACTGGCCAGCTTGAAGTCTTACATTATTACATAGTTGGATGATTAAATTAGAACATTACACAATGAACATCTAACTGGGAAACTTGCTATGATGGAAAAAACTAATGTCCAAACACACATTTTTTTTTTCAAATTTCTTACACTATTTTGCATAATAACAGAACAAAATATTTTTTTAGAAGGAATTCAAATTGTTATGCTATTACTGATTTCGACTTACCGATACTACATTTTTCACTAAATTTGTTTTCCAATTTCTTCATCTTGGTGCAGTGCAAGTATGAAAACATTTTTTTTCTGGGAATTTCTTTGAAATTTTGGAAGAGATTTTGGTCTCTCAGTTTATTTTGTGAAAGATTGACTTTGGCATTGAAGAAGTTAATTATTAAGCTAATTAAACTCATGGTAAAATGTATGACCTAAAAGTAAGGTGGTCAAAGGGAACAATCACAGACTCATGATCGATAAACCCAGGTTTGAATATTACCTTAGACTGAACACCAAAAATGCACTACCCCTACCCTGTGTGCCACAGACTCAATAGGAAGGCCAATTCCACTGGCCGGGATTCATTCACTAACAAATGCGACTTTGACGGAACCTTCGTTAAGGTCTACGAGGTGCTTGTGTTCGACCGAGCCTGGTCGATGCCAGGATAGCGCAATAAATTGCCATTTGATATGATGATGGCAGCACAGCCCTGTCATGTAGTCCCAAACATGAATATGACTTCTGTGGCAAAAATGCACTATGTGTCAGCACTGGCACTTGCAATTTGCACATACAAAAAAAGTCAGGAGAGACAACAGTGACATTCAATGTCCAGAATGTCACCAGGCACAAAAACACAAAAAAAATATAGTGTTTGTCATGATTACAAGATCTTAGTTGAAAAATAACTAATAGAACGCATAAAACTGATCAAATATAGACAAGTGTGCACAGATGATAACAATTTCATTTTCATTTCCATCTGCGTTACATTAATGTCATTGTTCTGTGATTTGTTGACAGACACTAGAGTGTCTGTCGTCTTCGCCACAAACCCTTGCTAAATTATTTTATTCCCACAACAATATGTCTGCTTTTATTTTATTTTTGTTTACTCATTTATATGAATAGAATGAAATCATGAATAAATGATCACATTACGGAATTTAAAACGTCATAAATGGAGGGGGGAGGGGTTATTTTCGTTCAACGTAATTGCAATATTTTATTGTTCGTACAACGAAAATTTAAAAAATAAATTCTGTAATTCTGTAATCACAGGCTAAATGTACAGCGTAATCAATCAAATATTTTTTTTGTACACTGTAAAAATGTGTCATTTTTCTCGGTACATACAAGAATTTACATCAAAATAAAAAAAGTCGTAAAGAATAATCCAGGGAAATTACATTTTGGAAACTGTAAAGCGACTAGATGACACAATTCACTGCAAAATTCAATTTTCACTGTAAACTGTAAAAACATCTTTTTTCCTTGTAAATTGTAAAAAGCCTGTTTTATTTCCCATAAAACTGTACCAGCTACCCCCTTGCCCCCCTCTAAATGCTATTGCAAAAACTTACCGCCCAAAGAGTATTAAGAGCAAAAGCTGCACCAACAGGAAGTGATGATGTTCCCAGTATTTTCCTATTAGGGTCATTGGAAGCCATCACCGTGAAGGCTAAAATGAAAGTGATGAGAAACTCAACTCCAAACCCACCCAATGTTGAAATCAAATCAGATAAAACAGACATCCCAAGACTGCCACGTATTTCCTCTGGTGCGAATCTATTAAGAAACCAAACAAGAAGGAATGTAAATGAGCTCATTAATATTCATTTTATCTGTTATTAAAACACTGATGTATCATAGATCTGTTGATAAATTGAATCTTTAGAAACTTTCCTATCAATAATTTGACAAAAATACTTGAAAACAATATTTCATCAAATATGAATCTTCAACCCAAACAATTGTGTTTGGTTCCATTTACCTGAACTCAAAATATACTTCTAATACAGAAAATATGATTTGGTGAATTCAACTTTTGCCTACTGTTTACAAGTATGCCTACTGTTTACAAGTTTGCCTACAGTAACTGTTTCAATTTCAATGAGAGGATATTTACAAATTAATAAAAAAATAGCAAATTTTGTGGTATTGTAGTAAACATCATCAACAGTCAAATTTGTGAACCAAAATGATTCCTCTTACTTGTGTAAATATCATGGAGCTGGTGGAAACATTCTAAACTGGTCAATACATTGTTGCAAATTATAAAGAATTATTAGACATAAAACATAAAAGTACTGTTAATTCTGGGTGTTCTGCAGACAAAAATCTGATCAGTAGAGAACCTGAGATTTTTGATGGATACAAGTGATGTTCTACAACACAAAATCCACTCGTTTAAGCTGAGAAGGGGCAGCATTATAATACTCAGCAATAATACAGGTAATATGACTGAATTACATTTATAAAGTTTGTTTTTGTTGCACATGTCTTTGTCAACAAATTTCCCATAATGCATTGTTCAAAACATGCAAGTGATAATATTCTAAAATTGATGCATTTTCAAAATAGTGAGTATTAATTTTGTTTTATTACACCCATTATATCACAGACCACCCGTGTATCAAAATAAATTGTTAAAATGTTCATCCATGGGTAATTGGAAATTTTTCAGAAATTTGAAAATGCAAGCTTGTTTTAGTTCCCACCATAGAGAATGATAAGCATTCCAAAGACATCGTGTGAATTCCTCTCATGCACAAGATATACTTTATTAATTACATATTTCTGAGATACATCCCGTCTTGAGTTCAAAGGTCAGGATATTTTTATGAGAGCAGCTGAATTCATTATCGGCATATAATTAATGTCTGGCTTTTAGTTAAAAAAATGATGAGAATTGGGCAAAGTCAGAAAAATTTGATGTTTGTGAGAATTAATGGCAATGACTCGATGCCACTGTTAATACATGTTTATCTGTATAGAAACAACCCACAAATGTCCATTATGTGGTTGGGAAAGAAATTTGGTAGTGACTGTAGACAATTTAATTAATACTGGAAAATTTAGTCTAGTTTGAAAATAATATCCAATTAAAATCTGGTTTCTCCTCTCCCAGTATTAGTGCATCAAAATTATCACATCAATTAGAGAAAAAGAATTACATGCAACACGATAAGTGGGCAAAATATTGCTTGCAGCAAAAAAAATTCAACCTACAATAATTGAATTATTTATTGTTCTACAGTTTGTACAAGTTACATGCTCTCAACAAGAAAGCTATCAGAGATGGATTTACTCCTCAAGCATTGTTTCACAAGAAGTGAGTAGAGGTCACCATTTTGATTGGATGACTGCTACTGTATCTGGATATTATAACAGTAGTACACATCATAATAGCTGAGCACATGTAGGTATGAGCTACGCTCACATTATGGGATCTCGACACGCAGCGAAATTTTTAGGACCTACGACTGTTGCCGTGTGTTGAGATCTGTATCGTGAGTGCCACTATGCTCATCAAATCAGATGCAATTTAAATATTTTGAATTCACCAAAACAGAGTGACGTGCACGCGTAACAAGTTTCAAGTTGATGAGTGTTGAATTTAAATTTGGAAAATATATGCATATGTAAATAAGCATGCAAATTACAAATATTGTCCTCACCAGAACAGTATGAATATTTTGCACACATGAAGTTTCAAAACTATGTGATAAATTGTACAGAACAGAGTACAAGTCTTTAACTATGCAAATATGCAAATAAGCAAATATGCAAATAAGCATGCCATTCATATCTTGACGCATGTGACACTATTTTTACTATGTTTCTAGAGATAATCAACTTACCCAGTCATAACAGCTGTTCCTGTTATTGCTCCTAAACACTGAGCAGCCATGTACAGAAAAGCTCGAATAATGCCGATTTTCCTGCCTAGCAACATGGCTATTGTTATTGCTGGGTTCATATTGGCTCCACTGATATGTTCAAAACATTGCACCAATACCATGACTGAAAGTCAAAGCAAAAAAAAAATTGTGATTGTTAAGGAATTTAGTCAAAATATTGATTTTTATAAAGGAATAAATGTAAAATAAATACAAATCTAGCAGTTATAGGACTCCTACCCTGTAGGCAGAACTCTGAATATATCACATATAACCAGGTTATAATAAACTTAGTGCTGATATCTTAATTACCGGTATTGATGGTCCCAGTGAAATTTTCACAAATCACAAATTCATCAACATTTCTCTGGCAAAATTGGTTTACAGTGCATATTTTTACTATTGTACTTCGGGAATAAACCATACAAGTTTACAACTGAAAACTAGGACTTTCACTAAACTAAACAAAATAACAATAAACAATACAACTCCAGTTGACCTCTGCATAAAAAAACTCACTATTCAAAGAAAGAACAATTCAAACCAACACATGGTTTGCAATGAGCTACCAGACTTTGTGTTACAAATCAGGCATGACAAGAACACATATGATTACCAAAAAGCAGAGACATATCCATTACATAGAATGTGGGAAACATACAGCTATATTTATATCATAACCATGGTTTCCACAGTACTTCGAAGACAGCATGTAATTTTTTTTTTGCCACACATTTTTATTTTATTCTTATTTTGTGCATGGTGACAGACTTGACAGAGTTGTCAGTTACCACTTGATCATTCTTTTTTATATGCAAATATCCTAACTCTGTTTAAACTAAAGAAACCGTTTTCAACTAATTTTACTTTAAAAAAAAATTGTGCCCATGACAATGATTTATTGTCTATAGTCTCTATATATGTGTGTGAATTACTATGTCAAGTTTTCATATTATCACGTATGGTGTCAAACAGCAGTGTAAGACATCAATAGAAAGACTCACATGTGACCAACGTCCAGCACTTAAACAATGAATGTACCCAACCATGGACAACACCAATGGTACGACAACCACAACAAATATGATAAATGGAAAAATTTTCTAATTTAGTTTTTTCAACATTGACTTTATGTTCAACTCTCAATTTACAAGAATGTAATATTGTATCAAAATAATTTCATGAACTTTGCATGTATAATGAAAGACTGAATTAACCTAATTAATTATACTATTGTAATCACCAGTACAATAGAACCTATAATGGCCACTAACTTAATAATGTGCTAATTGTCTGGGAACTGAAAAACCCACTTTAACACATTCTCACTTAAATTACTGTAAGACACTTAAGTTTTGCAGGAGATGACTTTTCATGAGCCAAGAGGAATTCTTGAATGTTTGTAGTAATGAAGTTTTTACTAGGGTTCCTATATGGTGAAGGAACACAATGATTTATGAAAAACGTAATGAGCTAAATTGTTTCTTGGAAAAATGTTGACAAATACAATGTACATACAAGTTATACATACATGCATGTTCAGACATAAATACCAAACAGTCAAATTAAACTTAAATTAAATATTATTTTTAAAAAATCCACAATTTCCTCACATTAAAGGCCCAGTCATTTAATCACATTTTTCCATATTAAATGTTTTTCTTCAAATTTTGTTTGTAGATTTTATCGATAACATGAACACTTTGTAGAACATAGGGTAAAACAAGTTGACTATGTTGGCTGGAGCCCATTTTCATGCACCATTGACCAACCAACTAGCTGATTGATTGATGTACCTGTTTTTCGTTGTTGTGAATGAGGCATAACATTTTCCTTCCGCAAACCACAATCCTATATCCTCTCAAATAAATAATTTATTTCATTTGAAAACAAAGTTACAGATGAAAGGTTGCGTGCTACATACTAAGAGGTTCTCGTGAAGGTTGGGTTAGGTGAGTCCGGACATCCATAATGTATGTTATTTATTAGCTGGCAGAACACAAAATATTTATAACCCAGCAAAAAATAGATTTAATGGCTTATTTGACAGAAACTTCACCAAAGTACGAAAAATGGACATCTGTTCTGACGTTATTTAGTAATTCATGAGGAGGGTTGGACAGGGCCATTTTTTGATTTGTTATGCCCGCCTGGCCAGAAGCCTGGGATCACCAGGCTTGACATGTAAGTGGCTAGAAAATAAATAAGATGGAAGGACATCCAAATATATGTAATAAACAAAGTACATTCCTTGAAAAACCATTTTGTATAGGTTGTCAGTCAAGATGACGTTGGAGTTGAATCCATATCTGTTCCTTGGCCGAAAATGAGTCTTGTTTTGGATAAATATATACTGTATCTGCTCTAATAGTAGCACATGCATTTATCTGGATTATAAGAGTGTTAATGATATAATAGTAATCTTTATTGTAATCATATTTTCTTAGGGAACTTGATCAAATTGTTCATTTCTATTAGAAATTTACACTTTTTCAAGCAAATGCAGTATGGAGAGGATTTCTCATTGAATTTGTGGCCCCAAGACTGTACCAGAATGTGCAAACATTTGAGATTGGAATGATTATATGGGCAGCAAAATATGTACATAATTCACGCAGTAAGTTGTGATGATAATTTTTTCAATGGAATGGACCGGAAAGGAGTTTCTAAATTTAGCAATTTAGTTCCTGAGGTCAAATGGTTTTGTTTGGTGCGTTGTTGCCGTGAGCTACTGTGCAGATATATTCCCTTGAAAATAAAACGTATTGTGTAAGAAAAGACTTGATAATAAAGAAAAGAATTTTTCAGCAGCGCCATTAAAGCTTGGATGTTAGCTTTATCAGAGCCAGCTATAATTATTCTCTTGGGATAAGTCTGACATTCACTGTCAACATATTGGACTTAAGACTTATAGAATTCTATTTAAAGTGTATTTTCCTTTCTAAAGCATATGCTAACACTAACCTTTGACCTGACAGCTCTATTGAACTTCTATCCCTCTTTAGGGCATTGAGTGTGTGCCAGCAGTGAGCAGACCATTAATTATGGATCATAAAAAAAAAACTGTATTTTTATTTTAATTGGAACCTTCCAACTGTATGGTCTATTGGAGTGTGTATTACATATACGTGGTAGACTGGTTGTCTTATAAATTCTGTGATTGGGTGGGTACCAGTCATCATGGTGTCATATGTGTACATGCCTATTATCATGCAAACAGGTAGTTCTTGTCAACAGACAATGTGAAGATTATACTGTGCTCTTGTTGTGCGAGACTCGGCCATGCGGAAAATCAGGTCAGAAGAAGGTAGACATGAAGTGGTTAAAATGAGGCTGCATGCCAGGTTGGAAAACTGCCAAACTTTTACCAATAGACAGGCAATCCATCAAAGCAACCTCTGCTATGCTTTGCTCCTGAACAGTGACTCTACTTTCCCATTCAACATATTCAAACTATTGTACTTTTTTAACTTTATTATGAAGATATCAACAGCCAGTAAAACAATCTTATTATTTGTCAACTTTAGGAATTAAATCAAATACTGGCAATACTGTGAATTGCAATGGTGTCACAAAGTCCTGGCAGTGAAGTTATTGATAAAAAAAACTTCTCTAATTGAATGGTAGTCACATAATTAATCTTGTAGGTTTGATATGCTACCATGGCAACAACATATGACCTATTAGACATGCAGTCTGTTTCCATTGATGTCTAATACGTTGAATCCCAAATATCTATTCACACCATATTCATATCACACAGAGTCTTAAAGTGAAAACCTAGAATAAGTCTGGATAGAGCTCATTAAGGACAAGTATTACCGGGGGTATACTTTGACTCAACTGTTGTGACTGTAATATCATCAAGAAACTACCTCACATAAGCAGGTCAGTTTGTAAATAGCAATATTGCTGTGTTCTGATTGTACAGAGAACTTTCTTTTTAACTCTCACAGTTTTACATTTTTTGGGAGGGGTGACCTCAGATAAATACATTCCATTGAAGTGCTAACGCTGATGACATTGCTATACTGTCAGCAAGTAGTGAACTGCTGCAGAAAGCACTAGATTATTTACACAATTAACAAATAGTAATCTTCAGGAAAATTGGAAGCAGAATCGCTACAAATCATATTACTCAAATAATACAAACAATATCCACATCAAACTGAAGTTCATGAACACAACGCAGATCTAAATATTAACATATGCGGGGGAAATTTAGGGTGTCTTGACAAATTCATCTATCTGGGATAAAACAGACACAGAGAAATTTCATATCAAATTCTGTAGAAACGCTCTCTGTTTGAATAACAAAGCAAGTAAAATAGTATGCCGTATGGAGTTAGGGAGAAAACCACTCATAAACAACATATACAGAGCAACAATAAACAAGGAATGGCATACTATGTGCTACAGGATATGAAAGACGTAGTTGTTAAAACTACAACAAAATCTTAATATTTTCAATATACATAAATGTATAGAAAATATCCCTGTAAAAACACTACAAACTAAAATAAAAGAATATTACAGTGCATTATGGAAGAAAGATAATATGAGAGACAATGCAAAGTTATGGACTATATTTACCCTGTCATAGATTTGTTGTTATTCTGTCAATTACTTTTCTTATTTTTGGTGATAATGAAGTAAATCATGAGCACTATTCAACATTTCACTAGAATGCTAAGGGAATGAATGTGAATGAATAAGCAAGTGGTACAGTGAATGTCTCCTTGAATGTCTAGGACATGACATACACATAACGTATCCTTGGGACTCTTACATGAGTAGAATTTGGTTGATGCAGTGATCTACACTGTCAACACATAATGCTAATTCAATATTTACCGACAGTCACTAAAAGATGGATTTTTCAAATGCAATGAGGATAATCAAATCAGAGAAAAAAATAGCCATTTTTTCCAAAGCAAAGCAGCATTTTTTTTTTTAGATTCTGCAAAAATGTTATACCAAGACATGAACATGTGATACCTTATTATGTTTATTTGGTCTGAAATTAACAAAGAAATTAAAAAATACATAAAAATGTATGAACATTTTGGCAGGACAAATTATAGTATTCAAAAATTTAAAGTTTAACACAATAAAATTGGATACCAACTTTCACAATGTGTTTTAGACTCAATCTCCACCTGAGAAACCAATCAAGTTTTCACTGCAAAAAAATTTAGCGAAATTTAGGTGGTTTACAGAGATGTATCTAAATTAATTTCAGACAAGGCCAGACTTTTTTTATTCCTTGTTTCGCGAGTTTTTATGAGGCAATTTTGTTGAGGAGGGGGGGAAAAAATAAAATTAATTCTTTTTTTTCCCATTAGATTTGTGTGATTCTCAAAGAATTGTAAGTGAGATCATTGATCGAAGAGAAGAAATGAAATAAAATTTTATTCTATGTACATGTTTGTATAACCTTGTTTCTAATCTGCGCAAGACTTCCGTACTTTGATCATGATATTCCCACGAAAATGCAACTTGGATTTGTTATGCGGCGGGCGGTAAAAAAAAGAAGATAAAAATAATATTTTTTTAGCATTTTGTTGCACTTACAAGTCGGCGGGCGCGAGAAATTACGCTGAAATAAAATCATATTTTTATTTCATTTTCGGCTCCTGTTCATTCGGCGGGTTCACAAAACAAGGGATAATAAAAGTCTGGCTCAAACAGAAATAAACCTTCAGACTTATTCTGAGAAATCTCCTTATTATGTCAGGACAGCTTTTACATGTATATGTATAGCAGACAAATTGAGGTATACATTGTTGGTTTATTACTGTTAGAAATCAAACTAAGTCTCAGAAAAATTGAGGAATGTTTGAAAATAACGACTGATTTTCTCAAAAATAATTGGATTGAAATGAATAATAAGATTGGTGAGCTAAATTGCAAAATAAAAATGTTAGTACATCGTTCAATCAAACAGGTACAGACACCCCACCCCCATATTAATTTATGAGAAATTCAAGTTTATAGTAAATGTTCTGTAGCATCTAGGTGTACTAGTAAAAAACAAACAAACTAAAATATATATATAGTATAAATTTTAATAAATTGACATTTTAATTTAAATTCTGTTGGAAGTGAATAAGCAAAGATACATGTAGAAAAGAAACTCCCACTGAGGCAAGTAGATGGAATCTGTTGGTATGCCATGAATGTCCGTAGTTGATTAAAGAAGACCATGCTCCTATATGCTATGTGATACAGCTATCCATCAGGGTTTCATGGACAATTTAATAAAACCAAAATTAGGGTGTATACCAGATACACAATTTGTTAATTCCTACACAGTAGTGTATACCAAATACCTAATTTAATAAAAAAATACAAAATATTTGATTTCAGTGATGCGGAAATATTGAGAATAAGCCAGTTTATAAATACATAGACAACATCAAATCTACTAAAATTAGATACATAATTCATGAAAACTGTCAAAACAAGACTTAAACTCGTCAACAATGTAGATTTAAAGAGAATGAACAAAAACAATGTGGGAGTTAACAGCTGAAATTGTGTGCTAGTCGATTTAAGCCAAAGTGTTTTGTACACAGTACTGGCACCATCTACCATAGCAACACGGGACAACTAAGACACACGGCTTGTTACAATTTTTCGCTCTACATATCATGCTTAATGGGACTTCGAGTGGCCTTGAGAAAATAGCTGATTCATTAAACACAATCACGAAAAAGCAGTTTTGTTGAATGCACAGCTCTTAGCGCTATTATTGCAGTACCCGTCTGGTACATCGAATGGTAACAGAGATTTGTATAGCGGTCGTACCATATGCCTCGCAGGGCACGTTCCACGGATCTTGAAGTGTGTGAATCGACTTGCTTACGATTGATGCGGAAACGGACACGCGGCGCAAAGGAATTCATTCGAGTGAGAAATTAATCAACGTACAACGCAAAGCCCGAAAAAGGGTCACCTACATTTTATTTTATTCTTTGCCTATACGCACATTTACGGTTCCGGCCACAGGGAGCTAGGTTGTTGAATACAGTTTAGTTCCCTGAGTCTAGTCTCGATCGAGGCTGTTTGTATTGCAGTTTGACAACTTTTGTGTGTGTTAAAAAACTAAAAGTTGGGACTGAAAAAGTGAAAAGACACACTCGTTGCCAAACTGGGGGAAGTTGAAGTTGTGCGAAAGAGAGTCCAACGCCGAGATAAATTCCTTAAAGCACGTGACACGCATCAATGAACATGCCCTTGCATCTCCTCAAAACTTCAAAGCCTTTAAAATTGATATTTGAAACTTACCAGCTAAACCCAACGTCAACGCGATTTCCACCACACTGGGACGTCGACCATTCCATTCCAAATGCGCGGCGCACACAATAATCATAAAAAAGAAAGTACACAGACATTCTGCTATTACTGCTCTCCAGAAATTCACAGGTATTTTGCACGATTTTCGCTGTTTTCGCCTCGAGTGCGTGGAGCTATGTTTGGACCTTCTCTCCGCCATCTTCGTAAATAGACCACTACGTTAACCTCTGACCCGACCGTGATTGGTCCGTAATGAAAGACAGCCCCCACTTTCCCCGCCCCTTTCAGTCGCCATAATGAAAAACACACACAAAAAGAGAAACGTGCGCGTTGCAAAATTTTCTTTCATGTGTCTTTCAATAGAAGCCAGTGAGGTGTGAATAGTAACGATCCTCGGGCACTATTCTGGTTTAACTTTCAGTGCTACTCAAGTTGAAAGTTCCTCCTCGTATTGCATTATATACTATACACCCTCAAGAAATTGTTGTCCTCAGAATAGCGCAATATACAACATCTTTTCTCTGTCTATAATATATATATATATATATTATGTAACAATTTCGGGTAACAATTACAAACGAGTCGATGTATTTTATTACAGCGCGTGTTGGAAACTAGATACTTTTTCGGGGCGCCCCTGATCGAGTCACAAACTCGTGAATTTAAATCATGGTTAGAAGTCCTTGAAAACCAGTCAAAGAATTGACTGTCTTGAGAATACAAGGTTCTGTTTTTTTCTTTCTTAGCCTGTCATGGCGGCATGGACAAAACAACAAAGTCACATCAGTAATACAATCTTGTGCTAGTTGAATCGTTCATTCACGTCAATAGAGTTTCAACAAACTTGAAGAGCATGACCATTAATCTCTGGGAGGGAAGTTGTCACAGAAGAAAAATGCCAGTGTGAAGTGCAAATTGTTTTTTTCTTGAAGTATCGAATTTTTCCTATAAATTTTTAAAAATCTTTTCTGTATTTTTTTTCACAAATCTATCATCCCGCAATTTTTCAATGTTTATACTAGTATTCTAATTCCGGGAAAATATAATCATAATATATCGACAATAAAGTGGGATTGATTTGAGTTGTGCATGTATGAGCAAGTGTTGACATGAAAATATCAATCTGATTAAAATAAGATCCTGGTTGGCTTAATATTTATCATTATTATTACTATTAATTATATTTATTTTAATTTTTGCAGCACCGGGTGGCTTTCCTAAACAACCCAATAATTGCAGCTGAATTGTAACGTTAAAAAATAAATAATAATTATACAACAAAAAATAGTAACAAAACAATTAAGCCAACCAGGATCTTATTTTAATAATCAAATTGTGAAATATGTAAAAGATGCGCTAAAATTCAAGTTAGTGGCGCTGTGCACAGTGCCGCAAAGTGCGCGTGACGAAATCATTAGAACAACTTCCTGAGTGGTGGGATATGCAAAGTGTATGTATACAAATAAAAGAACATCGCCATCTGTTTTATTAAAATTGATGATAATAATAATTGACCGGCGAAATGGGATTATGACCAACTTGAAGCGAAATGCGTTTCAATCATTGGGACGAGAATTTTCTGACCGAATAAAAAAACCGAGCGAGCGAATGATGAATAGAAGTGTTGTTATATGAAGTTGTTGTTAGGTTGTGATTTACCTTTGTTGGGTATAATATCCATAATTATATGGTTATGTTCGGATGATTATTACAAAAAGCTGATAATGCTGAAACCATTTGTGTCAGCAAAATTTGCCTTTCAAAATGCAGGAAATAGCGTTTCAGAGAGTCTATCTAGATTTCAACATTTTTAAAGGAGAGCATACCCTTGGACCCCTAGTAAGTTCGAGTCTTCAGCGCGAGGGATCTCGCCCCTCCACGCAACATTTCTCACCATCGCCTCTGTATAATCATCACATATTTGTTTCCAATAAGTTTGAAGTAGTGGGTCACCCGGAACATAGTAAAATTCTAATAAAAAACACACACCTTGGATACTAAATTGTGAAGCGTGTGACAATTACCATCTTAGTAATAAGTACTCCGGGTCAATACAACATATTAGTTGGTGAGTCAGCGCATTACGTGTTCGGCTGATACTGAGTTTGCTGAGACGGAATGGGTCTTGCATGACTAGAGAATCGTATTAAGGAAATGTTCTTCACGAACATTTGCTCATGTCAAACAAATATATACATTCTTGAAGTTCGGGACTTGGTTAAACGGATATTTATGCATGGCATACTATCGTCACGTGACTCGAAATGATCGTCGAAATGAAAAAATACAAAACATTCACGCGAAATTACGCGACCCACTGTAGTCTAGTCGACCTGAATAAAGTCGGCCGAATAGTTGATAAGGTGTATTTTAGTTCCAATGTAGTCGTATTTTTGTTAAATTTTACAGATTTATAACTTCACGGACGAGCATTTAAGGTAGCAGGATAGTTTTTTGGGCACTTTTCACATTTTTTTTTTGAAAATCACAAGCATAGCTTCATAAGGCATTGACGTCTTCCAAATTGTTTTCCTTTCTACTTGTCATGCTATGCCGCTAGAGGGCGATGTCATTCACTGCCGCCACGTGGGTCATACAAATTACTAGTAAGCATTTACGGCAGTTAGATGTTGACACATTGCCAGGTTAACATGTCGCAAACACATTCGAAAAATGTCCTCGATATTAACTAAGACTGTTATAGATGTCTGAGATATTAACAAAAATGGAAAAATGAGTTAATTACCAATAAAATATACCAATAAAATACTGGAGAATCCGGGCATCGATCCCGGTACCTCTCACATGCTAAGCGAGCGCTCTACCATCTGAGCTAATTCCCCATTTATGCTCGACTTGAGAGTAGATAAGGATTTTATGATATGCAAGATATGCCTATATCATATGATAGTATAATAAAAAACGGCATAATTTAATACTTCGAAATAACCTGCCAACTGACAAGCTGCTCTCTGATTGGTCTCAGGTGTCAGGGTTGGGTAGCCAATGAGGAACAATCTTGGAAGTAGTTTTGCATTCGAAACTGAAAATCTCTGTCAGCCATGGGGAGGGATAATTTACGAAACCTCAATCATAAAAAATGCCTTCGGAAATCGCCAGTCAGAATACTACGGCAGTTCTGTTCCAAATACCGAGTCGTAAATGTCGCATGGTATACATGACACTACGACAGTTCTGTTCCGAATACCGAGTCGTAAATGTCGCATTGTATACATGACACTACGACAGTTCTGTTCCGAATACCGAGTCGTAAATGTCGCATTGTATACATGACACTACGACAGTTCTGTTCCGAATACCGAGTCGTAAATGTCGCATTGTATACATGACACTACGACAGTTCTGTTCCGAATACCGAGTCGTAAATGTCGCATTGTATACATGACACTACGACAGTTCTGTTCCGAATACCGAGTCGTAAATGTCGCATTGCATACATGACACAGCAATAGGTATGGAAACGCCCTCTATATTCATAAAAACAAATCAGTAAATAGATAAACGTAAATGTTTACAAGAGAGTTCGGGCGTCGAGCGCTCTAGGTAGACTGATACATCGATGACGTCATTCTAATGCGCGTTTACTCTCTTATCCCGGGCCGTTTACTGTAAAATATTAAAGAAATAAGAAATAAGTGAAGTAAGTGAAGAAAAACAATCAGCAAGGCCGAAAAAACACTTTCTGGCGCAATGCGTTATCCGCGCGCTGTATACCGATAGACGGGTGCGTTAACTATGGCTAGACAATAGTCTATTGAAACTTTCTCGAAAACTGAACGAACGACAACTTGTTTGCGTCATCATTATTCGACCAATTAAATTACTTTTCTGTGAACTTAACCTTTATTTAATTCAAAAGTTACATGTGATGTTATTTTAATCTAAAAGTCGCATTTTAATGATTATTTCAAATTTGGGACGGTAAAAGTCGCTGTGATAAGTGTCGTGTTTGAAAACACTCATGAATGCAAGTACGGCAAAAATCATCAACATCGATTGATAACTACTAGTAATTGTTATGGATACGGTATCTATCTATCTACATTAAACGTATAATTTTCACAAGACACGCCTATGCAAATGTGATGAGTCGGATTCAGGCTTTGGGTACGTTACCAAATACAATGTAACAATTCAACGGTGGTGGCAATAACTGTACAATGATTCGGAAAGATAGCGTCTGCTTCTGAAACAATACATTTACATAATACCCGTATGTGTCCACGTGACCTGCCTACAAGAGTACCGTAACGTCGCCATTTTATAAACGTAATATCACCAAGTGACAATGGCATAGCGTACTCTGATGGCTGCTACCCACATTTTCATATTTTATCTTTAAGTTGTACAGCCCCACACAAGTACAACCGAGGTTATAAATGTCTCTTCATATAAACCGAAACATAACATAAGTGATATTGGATTTATTTGCAGGAATATGTTGTGAGCAACTAAGAATGGCATGACATATGCCTTGATTATACAAAGGAATAATTGATTTGAAAGTGTAGTCATGACAAAGTTAGTTTACTAACTAGTTTACTACTAGTTATGCGAAGAAACGCTCCGCCCGGATTGGAACATTGCTCAGAATTCGCACGTTTAATAAGAAATCGTTACAGATAGATTGGCGAAATGTTACGTTAATTACTAAACGGCAATTGAGTGTCAAGTTAATCCAAACAGAAACACAACCACCACGTGACTCAAATGCGTGTAACAGTAGAGACAATATAGTCATTTTTAAAGGTTTTTTAACTGAATACCCGGTCAATCAAATCGTTGTTTCGCCAATGTTCCGATAGTAGCGTGCGATACAAGCCCGCATGATATGGGGTATGTTCACCAGTGTTTTACAAGGGAATTTCGGACAATCCGGTGGGTCATTTGAATAACAAAATATTTTACGCAATAATAAATAGATGATGTTAGCATAATTATTTTTTTCATTAACATAAGTATAAATTACTTTGTAATGATTAATTTGTTTACCGTGCTCAAGGATGCCTGGGAAGAACAGAAAGTTCAGCAAGTATCAAGCACCTGAACAACACCCGCACAGGACCAAAGGGAGATACCGGCTAACCCCCCCCCCCCCAGGTAATAAAGAATAAAACAAACAAAAAATGCTAATCTTGGTTGATAGTTGGCTACATGCCAGGAACTCCTTGTAAATCTTGTCTAAATCATCGAGGTTTTCTTGGCTACATGCCAGGAACTTCTTGTAAATCTTGTCTAAATCATCGAGGTTTTCTTGGCTACATGCCAGGAACTTCTTGTAAATCTTGTCTAAATCATCGAGGTTTTCTTGGCTACATGCCAGGAATTTCTTGTAAATCTTGTCTAAATCATCGAGGTTTTCTTGGCTACATGCCAGGAATTTCTTGTAAATCTTGTCTAAATCATCGAGGTTTGCTTGGCTACATGCCAGGAACTTCTTGTAAATCTTGTCTAAATC